TGGAGAATATACATCCAGAGGGTGGGGGAAGACCAGGGTCAAGGGTGAAATGAACGATGTGTCTCACAATCGGTTATACCCAGGTAGCACCAGCATGTTCACTCCTAATAAATCTTCTTTAAACTCTGAGAGATGCGGCTAGAGGCTCATGATTTAAATGGGAGTGGATGCTGAAGCCCTGACAGTGGTCACATGATTATGGTTGTAAATTGAAGCTTACCAGTAGGCTTTATAAATTGCATCACTGAATCAACTACAGGAAGTCCCTATTTAGCTACTATAATTGGAACTTGGTTGTTGTGAAATAATTTCTAAGTGAAATCAAGACTGTGCTTATGATTTTATTTCAGCTTTCTTTTGCTTTTTAGATCTGCAAAGGTCATAAATGCAAGGATTGCTCATACAGTTCCTTTTTATCACCATCGTAACTGCAACTGGTCACTAAAAAAATGCTAAACAAGAATTACTTGTGCCCATATTTTCTCTTGGGATTATATTAACACACCACATCTCTTCTTAAACATTGATGCCAAGGCTGTAGGCTGGACTGGGAAGTTCAAAAAACTGCAATGGCAAATAGTTGAAGTCCATGAAGTGACCAGGTCATTTCAACTTTAAGGAACTGTTACATTATACTTTACAATTAGATCATTTTATAACATTTCATTGGTGGTATTTGATTTTTTTAAAAAAATCTATGAATATAAGCTTATGCCTCCTCCCCTTTATTAAAATATAAATGAAATATTCAGGGAATGTTTTGATCACTGAAGAATTCTGATTCCTAAATTCTGATTCTACCAATTACACAATAACACAAAAATTAAAGAACAATGTTTTCTGCCTACAAATGATTGGAAATACTAGATGCAGCTGAAAGGAATGTGTAACTTGTTCTGCACTAATTTTAAGATTACATCTTTCAAAAGCTCCAGCCACCACAGGCCAAACTCCAGAATTATGGATATTATTATTCAAAACATCTGGAAAGCACAAGGTTACCCAGACCTAATGGACATTTTGTTCAACAATTCTCATCTAATCAAGGAGAGAACCAATCTAGAAATAAGAGAAATTTCCTGACAATTACAACAATTTATCAGTGGAACAGCTTGCCTCCAGAAATTGTGGATGCTCCAACACTGGCGGTTTTTAAGAAGCAATTGGACAACCATTTGTCTTAAATGGTATAGGACCGTGATGGCGAACCTATGGCATGCGTGCCACAGGTGGCATGCAGAGCCATTTATGCCGGCATGAGAACTGCAGGCCAACCTTCCTCACTGGGTAAGTGCGTGCCTCACAGCTTGAAGAAGGCTTCTGCAAGCTTCTGCAGGCTTTGCAGGCCGAAAACTAGCCTCGTTTTGTCACTTCCTGTTTTTCTGAAAATACCGGAAGTGATGAAACAGGGCTAGTTTTCAGCCTGCAAGCCTTCCCCAAGCCGAAAAAGACCTCAAAATGGCCGAAAATCAGTTGTGAGGTTCAGTGGGGGATGGGTGGGTGGGTGGAGATTACCCATGCATGCGTAGGGGGCATGGGGGGGCACACATTGCCTTCTGGGTGCTGGCACACGAGTGTGAGTATGCAAGCGCGCATACAATTTTTGGCACAGGAGCCCCAAAAATTTAGCCACTACTGGTATAGGATCTCCTTCTTTAGCAGGAGGTTGGACTAGAAGACCCGCAAAGACTCTATTCTATCCTACACCATAGGTACAAGTCCATCTCATTTTGTCAGGTTTCCTAGCTGCTGCTTAGCAACAGTGAAGCCTTGTAAAGGTGGCGCTATTTGGAAATAAAATCCTACAGTAAAGCATCTGCCTGCCCCTCTCTCGCTCTTATTTTCAACAACATTGCCCACTTAAGAGAGATTTGATGGTGCTGCTGAGAACCGGAAGACAAATTACAGTTCATTTAAGAGTTTCTTTTCCCAGGAAGCATAAGAAGAGGCTTTGTGCTGATTATGTTTGTTTTCTTAGGCAAATTACAGGAAACAATAAAAATCCCCAACATCCATTCTTTATTATCTACATTGCCTCCCCAACCCCCGTGTCTGTGAGTGCACCTCCACATTTTGCTTCCTTTCTTTTCCCAGATATATGTATTTATTTAGATTTTAAAATGAGCATGGTACAATGGCATCTGTTTACATTAGCTAATTTTCTAATTTCTTTGAAGAAGTGGTATTTCAAATCAGTTAAGTCACTGCAAAAACTTACATGATCTGGAGATAGATTTTGGTAGACCTTGTGGGACGTTTTACATGTGTAAAATCCATATATAAAAGATAACTTTTTGATAGCAATCAACTGTTCAGAATTCAAAATTAGGTTCAATTCTAATAATTCAATATATGACCAAGAATCCGCTTATGCCATAAACTTATTCATTTAATTTAACTTGTATTTTTTCCGCAATAAATTATGCTTGGGGCACTGTCACCAAGGAAATGTACAGTAAAATATAAAACTAGAATAAACATATCAAAATGTTCTTAGATAGATAGATAGATATAGATATAGATAGATAGATAGATAGATAGATAGATATAGATAGATAGATAGATAGATAGATAGATAGATAGATAGATAGATAGATAGATAGACAGATAGCCAATAAAAGTGCCAATTAAAAGAGATAAATGCCTGTTTGTGAAACTGATAAATAGATTAAAAGAAGGAACATTAACAGGCAAAATAGAATAAAATCAAGGAAGACAGCCTACTATTTCTAGAGAATTATATATTTAGAACAGCAGAACTGCATACCATAGAGTAAAACTGATATTGCCTTAAACATAAACAAATTAATAATCCTAATCCCTTAATTCGGGGTAGAGTCTGGGCAACTGCAACTAAAAAAACAAAAACTGCTGTTATCCTGTTGCCAGATGTTCGTCTAGCAGTGCCAACAGTAAGAAAGCCTGAAATTAACTGGTCAAGTTATTTTCATCCCCATATTATCTGTAGGATAAATTATCATATCAGTGCTTATATGTTAACATTTGCAACAGAGTGTTTATTCTTCTTATTTTTGTACAACTTGTTTTATTAAGGATCAAATCCCAGTTATAATCCAAGTCAAAAACCTTTCACAAATTGGGGAGCATAATTTGGATAGGAAATGGTGAGGTTATTCTAGTATTCTCCACCTGAATCCTTTGCTGTCATGGAGCAGAAATATAAAATACAAAATTTTGGATTGTCAACTGCAATCTACTACAAGCTCTAGGCTACAAGCTCTTGAGACAGCTACTTTGGTATAAATCACTCTGGTTTAAGGCATCAGGCTAGAAACTGGAAATCCCAGTTTAGACACTAAGGCGGCTTGGAGATCTTGGGTCAGTCACTGCGTCTCAGTCCTAGGAAGCAAGCAGTGACAAGCCATTCCCAAGAAAGATAACCAGGGACTTATCAAAATACCATCAGGAATGAATACTGACTTAAAGGCACTATTCAAGTTCTTACCATTAGCTATGTTAAGGGTCCTATTATAGAGAGATGAGTTACACGCTGAAATAATATAATAGCACAGGAGATAAATGAGACTAACCAGACTAATAAAGTTTTACTCCTAACTTTCCCATCGTTTATACCCTTACTAGTCAAATGTATAATAGCTTTGAGCATCCATGGGAAATGTAGATAAAGGTAAATGAGCTAAATATATACTGTTCCTCATTCTAACAGCAATCTCATTAATCCTTACCTGGAAGTAATACCCATTATACTGAATAGGAGCTGCTTGTCAGGAAATGGCTGAAGCATTCAGATATTTTTTTTTTTTAAAAAAAGGACAAATGCAATTTATGTCCAGACCCACCAACTCAAAGCTAGTAACCTCAGGAATAAACCCCCGAGAAGATTTAGCTTGTAGAGACCCACCACACTGAAGACAAACACCTCCCAAATCTTTCATCCTTCCCAAACAGAGCTGGATTTATGACAGGAGAACCTGAGAAACGAAGCAATAACTCGCGGCTACCTAGTTTGCACTTCCTGACAGGGATTTGGGGGTTTTTGGGTCAAACGATCCCTCTCTCCCTCCTTTCTCCGGCCGGGCGCTAGCCGTTCAAATGACTAAGGATCTAAACCGGACTGCTCTGACCCCGGATACGGGGGTGCACGGGGGTGGGGGTGGGGGTTCTATCTAAGTAGTACCCTGTATTCCAGTACACTCAGCTAAGAGTAACTGGCGGGTAAGTGGATCTGCTCTCCCCACGTCCTCAGACGCTTCCCTTCCCTCCCCATCTTTCGCCGCAGAGCTGCGAGTCCGGCGGCGGGAACGGAAGGCTGCACGTAGCGAGGTTCGGGAGCGAAGGGAAAGAGCGGAGAGGCGGGGGCCGCGTTCCTAAAAGCGCGCCCGTGAAAGCCGGAGACGAAGCGGCCTCTTGCCCCTCCCACCTACCCCACGACTCTGCCGGCTGCCGGTCTGCCACCCCGGGGGGAAGCTCGGCGTCGGGGTTACGTCCACTCCCGGTTGCCTTTTTAATGCGCAGGCGGGAGCTCCTATCCTCTCTCTCTCTCTCTCTCTCTCTTCCCCCCCTCCGCGTCCCCCCTCCTTTATCAGCTCCCGCTGCATCGCCCCTTTAATAGCCGCTCGCTCGCTGGTCCCTTCTCGCCTCGCGCCTGCGGCCGCGAGACGGAAAGGCGCGGGCAGAGAGCGACGTCTCCGGGAAAGAACCAGGAGGAAGAAGAGGAGGTTAGGCGAGAGATCCTGCCGGGGCCGGTTGACGATCTCAGCCACAGCTGCTTCCTTCTGTCGGCTTCACGGCTCCGGCCGCCTCTAGGAGCCGCCGCCGCCGCTGCCTCCACCGCGGTCCTCTTCCCCCGAGGCCCACCCGCTGCGCATCTGCTCCGCCGCCGCCGCCGCCTCCTGCAGCCTCTCGGGCAGGTTGTGATGTGATCGGCGGCGCGTCCCTTGGGGGGGTGAGGCATCCCCAGCGGGAGCCTCAGCACAACGGAGAGGGTGGTGGAGCAGCGGGCCAAGGGCCGCGCCCCCATGAAGGAGAAGGAGGCGGGGGCGGGCGGGGAGCGGGGCAAGCCGGCCACTTACACCGGGGACAAGAAGGCGCGCATGGCGGCCAAGACGAACAAGAAGTGGGTGCGCTTGGCCACCGTGCTGGCCTACGTGCTGTCCGTCTCCTTGGCCGCCATCGTGCTGGCCGTCTACTACAGCCTCATCTGGCAGCCGGTGAGAGGCGGCGGTCAGCCGCACCCCCAGCCCCAGCCGCCCGAAGCGCCCCCCAGCCCCGTCGACCCAGGATCCAGCAACGGAGAGCGCCCGGCGGCGCCGATCGAAGGCGGAGATGGCGACTCTTCCGCTCCAGTAAATCCCGCTGACAACTCGGATCCGTAAGGACTCGTCCCGGCCCAGGAGGTCGGAGGCACAACTCCACACCTCCCCACCCACCCCCGGAACTGATCGGACAGCACCGACGGCGTCGGAGCCCCGGATCACGGAGGGCCGGAGGCGGCCAGTGGGAGAATCGCGCAGCCGCCGCGGGAAACGGGACCCCGGACTCGACTGGACTGGACTCGCTCTCTTGCAACCGCCCAACCCCGCCACAGGACCCCGCCAATCGCTGCTGTGGACTCCGAGGGCCTGGGGCTCAGAGACGCTTTTGGTTTTACCTCGCCCTCCTGGCAAAAGACTCGGGCAGGGAAGACTGTAACGGTGTTAGCTCGCCCCCCCCTTTTTTCCCAAATATGATTTATTAATCAATAAATACTGGGGGAGCCACGTGAAACGGAGCTCAGGTATGTCAGCCACTCTGAAATGTACCCGATGCATTTCCTTTGTATTCTTGTGTATAAATTCTTTGTATAAAGATGCACTTAACTAATGCATAGAAAAGAGCTATATAGTCTATATTCTGGACACGCATATGTTGGCAAAGGAGATGGAGAATGGTATTCAAAGGGCTATTGGGTGAGGGGGTGGGGAACGTAACTATGAAATTCACATCCAAACCGGGCCCAGGAGTTGGGGCCGCTTCTCTAAGACCCAGGCCAGTAATTCTGACTTGACCCAAAGTTTTATTCCTGTTCGCTTCATATGTATTTTGTTAGACATGGGTTTCTTGATTTTAAACCAGAATGAACCCCTGATGTCATCTGCTGTAAACATGGTCAGAAAAGAATTTATTTCAGAAGTGTTAATGTTCTCACTTACACCCCAATCTTTTGTCTGAAGACAAGGGAGAGTAAATCTGTTCTTGACCGTTCTTAGCAAAGCTACATTGGATTTGATGCTCATTTACTTAGTTCTGTGCTATTTCTGTTATGTGATAGTTGCTCCCTCTCTTCAGTCTTAAACCTTGAGGTTTTCAATGGGGTTATTCCTAAGGTTTTAGACCTTCCTATATCACCATTCTCTATTTGGATCAACTTCACTCTTTCTTCCAGCAGTGAGTAAAAAAGAGTTAAAAGATATCTCTTCTGAGTCCTCACATCTTCCTTTTTCCTTCTCCTTGATGTTCGGGACAACTGCTGGAGCTTGTTAGAACAAGTAAATTGGATATTTAATACTATGCTGGTATATCTGTTGGGGCTGCAGACCAGAAGTGGTGAAAGCCAGCTCTATTAGTAGTTCCAGCATTTACATCAGTAGTAAAGCAGCTATGCAACCTCCTTCATAAAGTAGTTCAGCCTTTCTCAACCTGGCGCCTTCAGATGTGTTGGATAAAAATTATTGTCATGCCCAGTCAATTGACTGAGTTGGCTGGAATGATGAGATTTGTAGTCCTGGACAACTAGAGGTAATAGGCTGAATAAGGTTAGCCTACTGCTTTCCTTGGACTAGCTTTAGAAGCCTTGTTTTTTTATATTTTTATCTTGTGTATTAGAAATTTAACTTACAGTATGAGCTGACACCTTTCTTGATATAGTTGAAGGATTTAATGATGCTGAAAGGCATGGCTGATATTCAGGCTTATTTATAAATAAATTCTTTTTTTCTTACAAAACTCATAGTGCACATTTTGCTAGATTAATTTCTTGTCATGGGAAAGTGGGAAGTCCTTCTAAAGGCTACTTTATGCAATGTTCTATAGGCAGATTAGGCTTAGCATCAAACACCCACCCATACACACACACACACACACACACACACACACACACACACACACTTGCAGAATGAATCTTGTGACCAATTAAAGGCTGTTTGCTACTTTGAATCAAGCCAACTAATATGGCTGCCCCTCTGGAATGTATACACTGTTAATGTGTCACAGATATGTTTTACTGATGCAAGTGTTCAAATCAGATAGTAACTCTGAATGTCACATACTAATCTGTGGAATTCCATCAGAAAAAAAAATATTCCTAGAAAAATATAATCTATGAACTAGCCCTTAGTTCACTGGGCACCAGTAAATAAGACAGTGAAAGCACATTGTGCAATTCTATACATGTTTATTTAGAAGCAAGTCTGGGACTTTACCGGCACAAGCTTATGAGTTTAGTTGGCTGCTTCCATTGCAGTTTGCTGCCCAATTAAACCAGGGATCCTGTCTGGCTATATATCTGTGTGGTTGGTTTCTTGAATTCAGCATATTATTCCATAGTCAGTAACTGAATCCCCCAAAGCCAATATTTTGCAATGAAGAATATGCTAGTAGGTGATACAAAGGAAGGCCAGGGGCCTTTAAGGAAAAATAAAAGACCAAAATGCTATCTTTATTCTAGTAAATAAAAATATGTGCCCTTAGAGGAATTTCCACTATATTTTTTATATGTTGTATATTTAAAACTATTAGTCATGTATTTTAAACAAGCAAAGACACTTGATGTGGTTTTGGGAATGATTACGTTCTTGGAAAGAACAAAGCAAAATGTTGAAAAAATTGCTATAATGTCTAAGCCATCCAGCCACTTTACTTTGTATTGTTATCACTGAACATCAGATTTAAGTTTAAGGTTGTAAACATGCTTTCATGTTGTCTATATCTAATTCAGCCATGTAAACTATGTCTGCATTCAGAAGTTCTGTATATTTTTTAAAAAAATATTTTTAAGGTTAAAAAATACATTGAGAGATTTCTGCCTAAAAAAACCCAAACCATATGATTTTAGTTTTCTTTTTCTAATCTCGTTCATTCAGAGAATGTTAGCCATGTCATGTCTGTTCACAGCTACAGTAAATGGGAGCACATTTCTTCACAAGGAGCAAATTGCTTGCTCTTTCAGTTTTTGAATCTGAAAAACACACGCATACCGTACTGTATACATTTTAATATTGTATATGACTCTAAACAAAAGGGTGTTTCTGTTATTGTGGAGAGGACACACATGGCAAGGAGGGAGGTCCTCTTTCGTCCTGAGAGCAAACAATGCCGGAATTTTAAAAAAAAGTTGCACTTGAAAAGACAAAGTTACATTTTTGTAGCTGGAATAAACCTACACCTGACCTGTAGGTTGTGGCCATAAGGTAGTGTACTTTGCAAGCCATAATCAAAAGAATAATAAAGACATTGCCACTTAAATTCCATTTCCCATCCAAAAAATGCTGATGTTTTCACACAATACAATAACCTGTAGAATTTATGTAGGAGCACATTGCTGCTTCCCAACACGTGTCTGAGGAGAACACACAAGAAGATTGCTGGGTGATCTTGTTCCAGTTTCTGTCTCTCGGTCCAACTTCCCTCTTAGAATTGTAATGAAGATAAAATGGAAAAAAGGAGGAAAACAGTTTGCTATCCCAGGCACTTTTGAGGAAAGGAGGAGCACAAATTGTAAAAACAACATTATTTCCTCTGCAAAAAATTGATGTTGTACACAAGCGGGGCCTTATTACGTATACTTATGTTCTAAGAGGGATTAGATCTTTGTACATTTCAAACAAGAATCCGTTCTTGGGAAATCTTGCCTGAATGATCTGGAATTCGTAATCTCTTGCTCTCAAAAGAGATTTGAGTGGGAAAGAAAGGAAATGGACTCATCAGGAGCCAGAATGGGTCATCCCCATTGGAACATCAGTTTACAGGAAACGTATGTTCCCAAGATCCCATGGGAGAAGTCAGCCCTCCCAAGTTACAGCTTGCCTTATGCTCTTCCAATATGTTTTAATGAAGAGTCTGCTAAACTCCATTGTGACTGGGAGTCCACAGAGGGAGTAGATATTCTGGCCAGCAGGAGCTGATAAGCATATTTCCTCTTAATAGGTAACAACTTGCTTTCTGAAGAGTTGTCAACAAAGCAGTTAATGACAGAAAAAGAGAATTAAATGCAATCAATGACATTTGCTACCGGTAGTTCTTGACTTACAGCAGCTCGTTTAGTGGCCATTCTACAACAGCACTGAAAAACATGATTTATGACTTGATTGTTTTTCATACAACCATTGTAGCATCCCTATATGGCCACAGGACTTAGATTTAGATGCTTGGCAACTGACTCATATTTATGATGGTTGCAGTGTCCAGGGATTACATAATAATCTTTTGTAATCTTCTGACAAGTTCACGAGGAAGCAGGATTTTGCTTAACAACCATTTTACTAACTTAACAACTGTGACAGGAAGAGTTGTAAAATGGAGCAAACTCATTTAACAAATGTCTCCCTTAGCAACAGAAATGTTGGACTCAATTGTGGTCATAACTCGAGTATTACACATATACACATTCCATTTTCAATTAGAAGTGAATATTTGTAGCTCAGGGTTGGACTTTGGGATCCTTAGTGCTCCCTGAACTTAGCTGTTTTCTTGCAGATGATTTATTACCCAACTAGGTAACATCATGGAATAAGTTCACTCTGAGTAGCTTCCAGAAAGGCTGTTTGCTAGAGAAGAGCAATTTGACCCACCGTAAACTGATTGTAAACCCATTGACCAACTATAAACAATAATTGCATGTTTTAAAGCAGAAATGAAGAGTGTTCCAGACATTCCTGAGCTCAATACATTCCAAATATATCTCCAAGCTATTTTCTTAATATAAAAACAAAAGGCTGTTGCCATGTTTTGCATTGCTTTGTGATGGAACTACAATTAATGGTAACACTGATGATGGAAGTGGAGTTATGCAAATTATGTTTAGAATGCAATTTAAATTGGAATGGATTATCATATCATAGCAAAATGGTTAAAATTACATGTTAAGAAGCGGGGAGATATTTACCTTCAGAACTGGAATTCATTGTGATCATCATGTCTTTTTAAAAAGCTTTGCATTTTGCTGAGATGTTCTGCTGGAACATACCAATAGAAATATGATTCATGTGCCTTTCTTCTCTTCCTCCCTTCATTTTATTCATAGCAGTTGAACAGCCTTTATTTCCTCCCATTTAGACTGCTGAACTAATTCAGCAATATTTACTGGTTGTATCTCAAGTACCAAAATCTGATGAAGTATTTTACTCATAACCACAGTAGGATCCATTTTGAAATATCTCTAAGAAATCAGCTGCACACATTTTTTTTTACCCTGTGAAATGCCATATCCAATATAATAACATGACACCAATCGGGAATGGAATGTCGAAGGTGTCTGAAATGACAAACATCCCACTGAATTGTAGCCATGTAGGTAAGTTTTCCAGAATGTTACTAACTATGCAATTATGTAAATGATATTTTAATGAGCTTGGTTACTTCTATGCTAGACAGGTTAAAGCAGAGGTTGAGGCATGTCGTGTTAGATATCCAAGACTGACACAGTGCATTTTGTGACTTTTTGAAATTATGAAACCTATTAAACCCTAATGCTAGAACCATCTTTTCTGACCCCCCAGTCCTGCCTCAAACAGTGCTGTTGTGCAGACATCTGGATTATGCCTCATTCTTTTTAGCAAATGGAGTGTTCATTGCTGTGGTCCCAGATGTTTCAAGTAGCCAGGGGCATGTTATAACAATATATGTGACTGAAATAGCCTGTCTGCTTATTAATTCTTTAACACATCCAAATGTTTTTAGTTCATAGGAGATGAACTAACTGTAAATTGCAAAAGATGAATGGAGAATTTTGGTAGCTCATGAACCCGTCAATGGCCTGTTGAGATCAGAGAAAGAATGGGACATGTGCAAATTACTCAGTTGATGCTTATAAGAATATTTTAATGAAAACAACACCCCATTTCTTTCACTTGTAAACAACACAGAATTAGAGATAACCGTGCATTGCAATATCTTATTCTTCCAGCTTGGATTGTTAGAATTATAGCCAAAATCCCAAATGAGCAAGTGAATAGTCTGAGACCCCCAGGGCAAAAAGCCTTAAATATTTCACTGCACTATACCATAACAAGACAACATTTATATATGTGTGTGAATAATTAAATTACCTACCTTTCATTGGTTTAATGGCATATAAATTAAATGTAATCAAATATAATTTAATCAAATCTGAAGTTATATTTTTCCTTAGCCCCCCAGATGTAGCCTGTACAGGTAGCCCTCGACTTATGACCATGCTCGGGACTGGAATCTTGGTTGTTGAGTAAAGCAAGCAGATGACTGCCTATGTCAAGGGTCTTCAAACTTGGCAAGTTTAAGACTCTTGGACTTCAACTCCCAGAACTCCTGAGCTAACATGACTGAAGGAGGAATGGCCTATGCGATTGCTTTGCTCAATGATCACAATCCCAGCATTCCCAGTTATGGTCATTAAGCAATTATGCGGGTCATCAACCAGACTGTGATAATAATCAAAAAACAACTGGAAACATGTAAACAAGAGCTTTATTCTTAAGCTTTTGCAAAAGGGAATTTTGCTCATGGCAGAAGACATGGTTCCCAGGAAGGCTGGGGTTTATATACAGGTTCAAATATACAGTCTCTGCCCCTTTCCTGGGTTCAATCTATCCAAGCTACATATCTCCCTATGCAACACCTATATTATTGTAGCATAACACCTGTTTCCTTGTCCTTGGAAATTACCCTCATTCTCATGGCATCTTCTTCCTGTTATGGTCCTGTTATGACCATCTGTAATACAATAGATCATTAACCAGTTCCTTTCAGGTCAGGATAACCTAGTATCTCCTACACATATCTTTATACCAAAAAGTACAGGCCCACGTTCTACCCCAAAGCCTGACATTTACTTTAGAACATAACAAGTTACAAAGTACATGTTTATTAGATATAGTTATATAACTGTCCAATAATCATTGCATAGTTCAAATATCAGATAAGTATGGCTTCCCTCCTGTTCTTCATTTCCACAGGTGTAACTCATAATATGTAATTTCTACATATAACACAGACAGAGTGAATGTGGAGTATTTTGGGGGATGGTGGGTGGGGGAGATCTTGGCGGGGCTGTGCTCAGGAGCTGAAAATCCTCTCTGTCGAAATCCAAACCCCTTGCCCATGAGCAAAGAGATACACAAAGTCTGCACCAAGCTTCCCAGGGCCTCCTTGCTTGAGGCAACCCACCCTCCTTACCTTACCGCACTGCCTCTCTGCTTCGATTTCATCACCCTCTCATATCTATGGGCTGGCTGAAAAAGCTGCCTTCCAAAGGAGCACAGCTCCCATCCGTGCACAGAAAGGAACTCCTTTGGTGGGCTACAGGAACAGAGCCAAAATTTTCAGGATTTCACCTCCATTTCTACAGTCTACCAAAGGAGTTCAGCTTCTGTCAGGAGGCAGCTCTTTCAGCCAGACCCTCAAAATGAGAGGAAATCCTCATGACCGGCATCAACAGCTTGCAACCTTCCCTGCCAGCTTCCTCATTGGCTTTCTGGGGAAGCCAGCAGGAGAAGATTGCAAATGGCAATCACAGAATCATTTGTTAACTGGTCCTAAGTGCATACAGGTTGCCAAATATCCAGATCATGGTGGGGATGATGCATCATAATTCCAGACTGTCAGTAAACAAATAAGGACTAGCTGTAGTTTGGAAAATGTTGAATTTGTAAGCAAAGCTTTTTTCCTTTTTGTAAGCAATGCTTTTTCACCCACCCCTTTTCCTAGCTTCAAATGAGTATGGCACATCAGCGAAACACAACATGGCATTTATCCTTCACTAATGTACCTATACTCTGTTGAATAAACACTGAAATCTATGTCACTAATAAAATTATAATACTGCTTTTTTAAAATTT